GGCACCCTCAACAAATGTTTATTAAGGTCTTCTACATGCCAGGCACTGTTGTAGTTGCTAAGGATATTTTGGTGAACAAAAAAGGACAGAAATTCCTGCTCTAGTTGGGAGAGACAGACAATAAAGAAGATAAAGAATTACATACAATTTAAATTATCTTCCTCATAAGTTGAATTTTTAAAATTATGAATTGACCTTTTCTGTCTTAATTTTTTTGCTTATAGTCTCTTGTGTGGTAATAGAACCATATAATAGCTTTCATTGAGTTGTTTACTTTATTTTTTCATCCTTTTACTTTTAGCCTTTCTATATTCTTTTCTTTTAAGATTTTATTTATTTATTTGACAGATATCGCAAGTAGGCAGAGAGGCAGGCAGAGAGAGAGAGGGGGAAGCAGGCTCCCCGCTGAGCAGAGAGCCTGATGCGGGGCTCAATCCCAGGACCCTGGGATCATGACCCAAGCCAAAGGCAGAGGCTTTAACCCACTGAGCCACCCAGGTGCTCCTTGCCTTTCTATATTCTTATGTCTTAAATGTGTTCTGTAAACAGCATATGGTTGTGTTTTTAGAAAATTTTAACCATTTATTTTATATATATATATATATATATATTTGGATTTACATCTCACATTTTACTTTATGCTTTCTTTTGTTTTATCTGTTTTCTTTTTCTCTCCTTTCTTTTCTTTCATTTTGTCTTAATCATGCCATCTTTTCTTTCACTTGAGTAAGAAGTTAGTAGTGTTTTTCTCTGAGTTTTTATAAAGATATAAGTCACATGCCATACAATTCAGCGTGTGATTTGGTGGTGTGTGGTATATTCAGAATTGTGCCATCATCACCACAGTTACCTTCAGATCATCTTCCTTACCCTAAAAGAAAGTCCCTACTCATTGCAGTTACTCTCCATCAAACTGTCCCCATGACCACACCCCCCACTCCAGACTTCTAGACAATGTCTCATCTTTTTGTCTCTACAGATTTGCCTTTTCTAGACATTTCATGTGACTGGAACCATACAGTGTGTGACCTTTGTGTCTGGCTTCTTTCACTTACCGTGTGTTCGAGGATCATCTATGGGTAGCATCACCAGTACTTTCTCACGTGTTATTGCCAAGAACTGTTCCATGTTCTGTTCATCTAGTCATCACTTGGTGGACATTTGGGTTATTTGCCTTTCTTAGTTAAAAGCAATGCTGCTTTTGACATTTGTGGACAAGATTTTGCGGGGACATAGCTTTTCATTTCTCTTGGTAGATACCAAAGAGTAGAGCTGCTGGATCATATGGAAAACTCTTGGAGAAACTGCCACACTTTTCCCAAAGCAGTAGCAACCATCTTACAGCCCCTTGAGTAGTATATGAGGGTTTCTCTACATCCTCACCAACACTTGCTTTTATTTCTCTTTAAAATTATTTATTTATTTATTTATTTTAAGATTTTATTCATTCATTTGACACAGAGAGAGCACAAGTAGGGGGAGCGGCAGGTAGAGGGAGAAGGAGAAGTAGGCTCCCTGCCGAGTAAGGAGCCCCATGCGGGCCTCGACCTCAGGACCCTGGGATCATGACCTGAGCTGAAGGCGGCCTCTTAACCGACTGAGCCCCCCAGATACCCCAATATTTGCTTTTCTCTTTTAAACTATAACTATGCTAGTGAGTGTGAAGTGGTACTTCATTGTGGTTTTGATTTGCATTTCCCCCATGGTAAAAGACATGGTTCATCTTTTCACGTGCTTTATTAGCAAATTGTGTGTTTTCTTTGGAGAGTTGTCTACAGATCCTTTGTCTGTTTTTAAGCTGCGTTATGTGTTTTTTTATTATTGAGTTGGAAGATTTCTTTGTATATTCTGGATACAAGTTTTATCAGATAAATGATTTACAAATATTTTCTCCCATTCTTTGAGTTGTCATTTTACATTCTTTTTTTTTTTTTTAAGATTCTATTTATTTATTTGACAGACAGAGATCACAAGTAGGCAGAGAAGGAGGCAGAGAGAGAGGAGGAAGCAGGTTCCCCGCCGAGCAGAGAGCCCGATGTGGGACTCAATCCCGGGACCCTGGGATCATGACCCAAGCCAAAGGCAGAGGCTTTAACCTACTGAGCCACCCAGGCGCCCGTCATTTCACATTCTTGATGGTGTCCTTTGTAGCACAAAAGTTTTTAATTTTGATGAATTCCAGTTTACCTATTTTTGTTGTTGTTGTTGTTGTTGCTTGTGCCTTTGATGTCCTATCAAATAAACCATTAGCTGGCTCATCTAAGGCCATGAAGACTTGCACCTATATTTTCTCCTGAAAATGTTATAGTTTTATATTTAGGTCTTTGATCCATTTTGAGTTAATTTTGTATATAGTAGGAGGTAGGGGTCCAACTCCTTTTTTTTTTTTTTTTTTTTTTTTTGCACATAAATATCCAGTTGACCCACCGTCATTTGTTGAAAAGATGATTCCCATTGAATTATCTTGGTTACCTTAAAAAAAAGAAGATGATGAAAGTAAAGGTAAATAAATTTCTGGACTCTAAATTCTATCTATCTATCTATCTATCTATCTATCTATCATTGGTCTATGTATCTGTCTTTATGTTAGTACTAACACTGTCTGGATTATTGTAGTCTTTTTTTTTTTCCCTTTGGATAGAGATCACAAGTAGGCAGAGAGGCAGGCAGAGAGAGAGGAGGAAGCAGGCTCTCCGCTGAGCAGAGAGTCTGATGCGAGGCTCGATCCCAGGACCCTGGGATCATGACCTGAGCCAAAGGCAGAGGCTTTAACCCACTGAGCCACCCAGGTGCCCCTGGATTATTGTAGTTTTGTAGCAAGTTTTAAAAATCAGTGTAAGTTCTCCAACTTTGTTCTTTTCCCAGATTATTTTGGCTATTTGGAGTCCCTTGAATTTTCATAAGAATTTTAGGATCAGTTAGTTAATTTCCACAATGAAACCAGCTAGAATTTTGGTGGGGATTGCATTGAATGTAAAGATCAGTTTGAGGGAAAATTGGTATCTTAATAATAAGTATTAATATTAAGAGGGGTTTGAACTCCTGACCCTGAGATCAAGACCTGAGTTAGCTAAAAAGTCAAATGCTGGGGCACCTGCGTGGCTCAGACAGTTGGGCGTCTGCCTTTGGCTCAGGTCATGATCCCAGGGTCCTGGGATCGAGCCCCGCATCGGGCTCTCTGCTCAGCGGGGAGCCTGCTTCCCCCTCTCTCTCTGCCTGCCTCTCTGCCTACTTGTGATTTCTGTCTGTCAAATAAATAAAATCTTAAAAATAAATAAATAAATAAATAAATATTTGGTAGAATTCACCAGTAGACCCATCTGGCCCAGGCTTTTCTGTGTGGTTAGTTTCTGGATTACTAATTTAATCTCTTTACTTGTTATGCGCCTATTCATGTTGTCTATTTCTTCTTGAATCAGTTTTGGTAGTTGTGTCTTTCTAGAAATGGGTCCATTTCATCTAAGTTATCTGATTTGTTGGCATGTAGGTGTTCATAGTATTTCTTTACAATCCTTTTTTATTTCTGTAAAGTAAATAGTAGTATCCCCTCTTTCATTCCTGGTTATACTAATTTGAGTCTTCTCTTTTTTTCTTGGTAAGTCTAGCTGAAGTTTTGTCACTTACTGATCTTTTCAAAACAACTTTTAGTTTCATTGATTTTTCTCTGTTGTTTTTCTATTCTCTATTTCACTTACTTTTGTTCAGATCTGTGTAACTTCCTTCCCTCTGCTTGCTTCGGGTTTAGTTTGCTTTTCTTTTTCTAGTGATTTAAGGTAGAAGGTTAAGTTACTGATTTGAGGTCTGTTTTTCTTTCTTGTCTTTTGCTGGGAAAAATTTTAATCATTTATATATTTACATTTATATATTTATTTATATATATTTATATATATATACATTTATATACTTACACATATGTACATGAGTACACACAAAAAAAGAATATATATATTTCAAATACATATAAGTACAGTTGACCCTTGACCAACACAGACACAAGTCTGAACTGTGTGGGCATACTTATATTTACTTTCAATAAATATATTGGAAATGGTTTTTGGAGATTTATGACAATTTGAAAAAACTCCCAGATGAACCACGTAGCTCAGAAGGATTGAAAAAATTAAGTTAGGTATGTCATGAATGCATGAAATATATGTAGGTAGTAGTCTATTTTACCATTTGCTACCATAAAATATACCCAAATCTATTACAGATGTTAAAATTTATCAAAACTTATGCACAAACTTACAGACCATATATGGTATCATCTGCAGTATAGAGAGGTGTAAACAAACAAGGATGCCGTATTAAATCATAACAGCATAAAACCACAGGACATACTGGACGACTGTAATGCTTTCGAAGCCACCTCCTGTTGCTGTTGGGATGAGCTCAGGTGTTGCGGGTGTCTGCTCAAACCTCTGGGACGCTCATCATGTCTGCAGGAGCAGTGTGTCTCCAGTAAATTGTAGATCGCAGTAAAAAGTGAGCTCTTATGGCTCTTGCTCTTAGTAGTGAAGCTGGGGTGGGGCGGTGTCGGAAGTTCTGGGCAGATTTTTGACTGTGGAGAGGGAGGTCAGTGTCTCTAACCCCCCCACATTGTTCAAGGGTCAGCTGTATCATATCTGTATCTCAAGTGCATGCAAGGATATATACGCCGTATTTATATAGAGGAAGAATGGGAAACACAAACTGGCTGTTTATCCACAGGGAAGCTGCCTGAAATCAATACCTGTTTTTACCACTTACCAGTGGTCAGCCTGACCGAGTCCCTTATCCGAGTCAAAACTCGGTTTTTTGAGCCACAAACCTGAGATACTAATCCGTCCCTCGCTAGGTTTTGTGATGATTAACAGAGCTGGTGTCTGTAAAGTGTCGTCCGCACGGTGTAGGCACAGCGCCAGACACACAGTTCGTGCTCGGGAACAAGTGGCTGCTGCAAGAACAAAAACTCACGGGTAGTGGTCATTACTGTTTGTCCACCCTCTCTGTCCTGGCAGTTCCTCTGTGACGAGGGTGCTGGTATTTCTGGGGACTACATTGATCGTGTGGATGAGCCCTTGTCCTGCTCTTATGTGCTGACCATTCGGACACCTCGGCTGTGCCCCCACCCTCTGCTCCGGCCCCCACCCAGTGCCGCCCCCCAGGCCATTCTCTGTCACCCTGCTCTGCAGCCTGAGGAGTACATGGCCTACATTCAGAGGCAAGCTGGTGAGTAATGAGAAGGGCGAGATACAGGGAGGGACCAGCAGAAGATAAGGGATTGAGAGCCCAGAGGCGGGTGGCCTTGTCCTGCCCACATGCTGTTTCTCAGTAGACTCCAAGCAATATGGGGATAAAGTCCTTGAGGAGCTGCAAGACCTGGAGCCGCACATGTGGAGCGAGGTCCAGCTGGGAGCAGGGCCCTCAAAGAGAGCAGGTAGGACCTTGTTAGTCCTGTTCCACGACACCTCTCTCTGGTCCTTCCCTTCCCCAGTCTTACTGTCCTGGACTGACTGTTGGGGGTGGGGAGGAAGTGGGTCCTGATTCCTTAGCAATAGTGAAGGAGAATGGACCCCATTCTGCTTGGTCCCTTCCATTTCTCTCTTCCTTCCAATTCCTCCCTGTTCTCTGTATCCCAGGTGCACACCCCACCAAGGACGAGAGTAAGGAATCAGATTTCTGGAAGATGCTTCATGAGCCAGAGGAGCAGACCCCTCGGGTGGAGGAGGCTCAGGCTGAGGTGAGAGCCAGCTTCCCGGCCATTGCTCTGATGAGGCTGGCCCTGGGCGAGCTGCAGTCATCACGAGATGACCTATACTGGTCTAGGGAGGCCAGGATCTACCCAGAACCACCACCTTAAGAGTGTGGTAGGCATAAACACGCTAGTGTACTTGACTCTACCCTTTTCTCCTCATCAGGAGCAGGAACCCAACATTGAGACAGCAGATCCAGCTCCTGCCCCTCCCCAAGGTGAGCGAACCGTTCCTGTCTCCTTTCCTGGTTTGCATGTATTCTGAGGTTGGCGGGGGTGGGGGTGGGGTGGAGGTAAACATTGGTTGGGGAGTTTGGGCTGCCAGGCCAGCATCGAATTCATTTTTACAGGAGGTAATACTGTTGGCAGACAGCAGTTCTGTTCTAGGGAGATAGCAGGACACAGTGGTTCCACAGCTTGCTGACTTTGTAATCCTGGGTGATTTCACTTAACCTCAATTTCCTCACCCCCAACAGTGGGTAATACCCCTACCTTACAGGGTGGTTGTGAGATTAAATGAGAATGAGTCTGTAGTTCATAGCACAGTGCCTGGAACACAGTCGACAATAGTTTATATTTGTGGAAAGAGGAGAACAGTATCCAGGGAAGAGGAGCCTGTGGCCTCAGAATCTCTTCTGTAGTCCTAAAAACTGGAGTCATTACCAGTGGGGCTCAGTGGTGCCCTCGCCAGCAGCTTGTTAGTGTTCCCTCTCTCACCTGTTGGTCCCCCTTAGGACAGTGCTCTCTGGGGGGGTTACGTTGGCCCCTAGCTCACTGACCAGACAGGTGGCTCCTGGAGGCTGGGACCGTGTCCTTCCATGGTCTCCTCCTCTCCTCTCCTTAGGAAATCAAAATAGAATTTAGGACACAACTGGTTCACTCCTGGTCTTTCATTGCAGATTTTCAGAACAATGTGCAGGTCAAAGTCATCCGGAGTCCTGCGGACTTGATTCGATTGATAGAGGAGCTGAAAGGTGGCGCAAAAAAGGTATGCGCCCTGCTTAAGGGAGGGAGAGAGCCCACCTCGCCTCCCTGTAGGGAGCACTTAGCCAACCGCCCCTGACCGGGGCCTGCAGTAAGCCCAGCGTGGGTGACTCCCTTTCTTTCCCCCTCCCGAGACCCCCGCCAGTGCGCTCCGGCCACTGTGTTTCTGCTGAAACCGCAACTGTCCACCTCTTTCTTCCGGTCCCCATCCACCCAGGGGAGGCCAAACGGAGGCCCAGAGCAGCCTGCAGAGGATGCCGCTGAAGGCCCTCAGAGGGAAGCAGAGTTGAAGGAAAAGAGTGACACAGACCATCAGAACGAGGTGGAGGAAGAGGAGGAAGAGGAGGAGGAGGAAGATGAAGATGAGGATGAACAGCAGTTACTGGGAGAGTTTGAGAAGGAACTGGAAGGGATACTGCTCCCGTCCGACCGCGAGCGGCTCCGGTCAGAGGTGAAGGCTGGCATGGAGCGGGAACTGGAGAACATCATCCAGGAGGTGCGTGTGGCCCTTGCTCCCGTGTGCACTGGCCCACTGCCCTGTGGGCTGAGGCAGGGTGGGCAGAGGGGCCCAAACGGAGCACAGGGCAGCCTCTGGGAGGTTGTTTACTTAATGAAAGGGGGACAGTAGGGAAGGGGGACCCAAGAGAGGGCTGAAACTTAACTAGTGCTCTTCTGTAGAGCGTGGATCACTGACTTTCACCCCCCAGACCCTTGACTCTCCGCTCCTGCTTTGGGCATTCCAGACAGAGAAGGAGCTGGACCCAGACGGGTTGAAGAAGGAATCTGAGCGCGATCGGGCAATGCTGGCCCTGACATCCACTCTCAACAAACTCATCAAAAGGCTGGAGGAAAAACAGAGTCCAGAGCTGGCACAGAAGAAGCACAGGAAAAGGAGGGTTGTCCCCAAAAAGCCTACCCCTTCCCCCAAAACAGCAGGTAGGAGCTGTCAGACAGGGAGGGCAGTCAAGCCCACTGTCTTTGGTCCCTCAGCTGGTGGACTCTGGAGGGCATCATGTTCTTTCCTTTCCGAGAAAGCATACTCCCTTCCCTCTTTCTGGAACACTGTTTTCACACCTGCCTTCCCACGGCCTCCATCCCTTTGCCTCGTTACCTCCTATTCATTCATCTTCTTGGGAAGCAGCTTCTGGAGTGTATCTGTCTTGTTTTCTGGCTTGCTTCTGTGCACCCAGCGCCTAACACTTCCCTGGCGCATAGTGGGTGGTCAGGAGACAGTAAGGCAATGCCTGCAAGTAGGCCTGTGTGCTGAAGACCACACAGGGGGGAAGGAGGCCGCTTACCAACACTGAGCCCCGTGTGCTGGGGGAGGCCCCAGCTGGTGGGGTGTGGACACGCAAGCCCAGCTATTCCTAAACTGACTTCCTGGACAGACTTGCAGTTACTGTTGCTTCTCGCACTCCCTGATCTCCCTTCCACAGGGTCATATGAGATCAGACATTCCAAATGGAATATTCTCTTTTCAAACCGTCCATCCCACTATCTCTATAAACACTGGAATGTCTTTCGAGTAGCAGCATGTGGAGTACCAAACCACAGTTTTCCAACCTGCTTCTTAAGAAACAAAACTTCTTTGTTGGCTTGGGTGGCCTGATTTTTCTTCAGAAAACACAGTCATTTTTCCTGTGGGGGACAGGCAGAGACTTCCCAGTCTGGGAGGGGAAAGGGAGGCCGCCGCTGGTGGAGGAAGCTGTAGAGGCCTGAAGGGGAGGGCATTAATTTATTCTGAGCCCCCATTCCTCTATGTGTTTGTGATGGAAAACTGCCCAAACCAGTGGATGGCCGGGGGAGAGGTGACCACCACCGCCCCTAACCTGGAGTCACGGCTCTGCTTTGTGTCTCCCTGTGTGTCTCCCCCTCTAAGAGGAGGATCCTGAGCACAGAGTCCGGGTCCGGGTCACCAAGCTCCGTCACGGAGGCCCCAATCAGGATCTGACTGTCCTCGAGATGAAACGGGAAAACCCACAGCTGAAACAAATCGAGGGGCTGGTGAAGGAGCTGCTGGAGAGGGAGGGGCTCACAGCGGAAGGTGGGCCCTGGGGCTGGCTGGCTTCAGAGCTGTTGGCAGGGCCTGCTGCTGGAGGTGGAGGGGCTGGGTCAAGGCGGACTGGAAACCTCGCTGGGGACCTGGGAGGCAGAGGGCCCTGCACAGAAGCGCCCATCCGTCCTTTCCCCTCACTACCCTCACGGCTCCTTTCCAGGGAAAATTGAAATCAAAATCGTGCGACCAGGGGCTGAAGGGACAGAGGAGGACGCACGTTGGCTAACTGACGAGGACACGAGAAACCTCAAGGAGATTTTCTTCAATATCTTGGTGAGAGGCAGCCTACTCCCCAGCCCTGGAGCTCCAGGCCTTCACCCCGCTCTAGTGCGGTGGAGTGGAGAGCATGGCCAGGGGCAATCTGGCCAGTCCCAGCCTCACCACCTTCTGAACTACGGGAATTTCTGGCAACTAGATGGATGTTCCCTTGCGAAGTGCGGGTGCCAGGTCCCTGCCCTCCCCACACGGCCAGTCCCCGGATGCTCTAGCGCCATGCGTGCCCTTGCCTCACCACCAGCAGCCCCTCACCACGTGCCCTCCCCGCAGGTGCAGGGAGCAGAGGAGGCGCAGAAAGAGCGGCAACGGCAGAAGGAGCTGGAGAGCAATTACCGCCGAGTGTGGGGCTCTCAAGGCGGGGAGGGCACAGGGGATCTGGAGGAGTTTGACTTCTGAGACCACCTCTGCCATCGGCTGGCCAAGGAGTCCAGAGCCTGCCTAGACTGGCCCTGCCTCCTCCTCCCCTCACCCACGCCCGGGGCCCTGAAGGCCAAACAGCAGAGTAGAGCTGAGCTGTGGACCTGGCCTCCTGCTGCCTCCCTCCTGGGGGGTATAGAGAGGCCCTGGGGTGAGCACGCCACCCCCCGACCACTGCTGCTGCTCAGAGCCACCCAAGACCTCGAGGGCCTGTGGGGTTTACTCTCCCAGGCTTCTCCCCACAGCCCCTTACTTTCTCCCTGGCTCCCTGGTACCCATCCCCTAACTTGTCGGTTCCTTTCCCCTCCCTCCCTGGAGAGTTGATGAGATCTTTTGAGTGAAGGAGGGTGGGGAGAGCAAGAAGAGTGGGGCAGTTCAGCAGGCCCCCCACACCCTGCCTGAGCTGCTCTTTGGGGCCACCGCCTTCCCTTGGATCAGCTCGGGATGCCCTACTCCTTTCCCTGCCCACACTGTTCCCTACAATCCGGGCTTCCAATTTGAGGTGCCTTCACCTCTGTTTCTGAGGAAATGGGAGAAAGTTGCCCACCACCTCTGACACGATCCCACTGAAAAGGGTGGGGTACAGAACCACCCACCATGTTCTTGAACAATCAGGTTTCTCAATAAAGAACTGGACCATCAATCCATCAATCTGTGTTTTCTTCTCAGGGGTGGGTGGAGCCGGGGCTCTAATAGACCTGAGGCTTCGTGTTCTCCTCAGGGTGGGGTGCACACTCTCCCATCCCATTCTGTGCCACCCCCACCCCTGCCAGGTGACACCAGTGGGGACTGGGACGCACAGGAAGAGACCAGGACAGAGAAACAAAGCCCGCTGACCTGCCAAGGACTGAAGCACTTGTAGTCCCGTTGTCCCTTCTTTTCCTCCTCTTTCTATTCCTTCTTTCCCCCTTCACATCTGGAAAGTGGGGTGCACAGCATGGAGTTGCCCCATTTGAAAAGTAACTTTTCATGTGCTGCCCACCATAGCGCCCTGTGGCTTCTGTTGGCCGCCTGCACCCGTGCCCGCCTGCCACATGGCGTCATTTCACCAGGCCCAGTGCCTGCCTACTCCAGCTGTGACTGTGCCCAGGCCAGGAGGGTCTGGGTAGGTCTCTTCATCTCCTCCCTGTTGCCAAGTGCAGACACGGGGGCCCTCACCTCCCCTTTTTCTCGTCTTGCTGTCCATCTCTGAGAGGTACAGTTTTCCTGCTGAAGATGGCACCAACTCACAGGTAAGCTGGAGCCCACTGAACTCTTGGGTCTCCAGAAGTCAAAGTGAGATTCAGTTGTTGTTGAAGAAAGTTGTCTGAGACCCGCCCTCTTCTTTCTGAATGTCAGTGGGTGCTTATTTTGCATGTTATGCTTACATTGTTTTATGGAGAACTGTAAATGGGAAGACTTGTGAAACCCTGCTTCCTCAGGTCCATTTTGGGGGTTTTGCAGGGAAGGAATGCTTCCCCAGTGCAAGATCTGAGACATGGCTCACAGGCAGCTGTAATTGGGGTGCTGGGTTCAAATCCTCTCTTTACTCGGCGGGGCTGTGAAAGACTTATTTAACCTTTCAAGTGCTATTTCCTCTCGGGTAAGTTGTGCATAACATGCTGGTCTCCGATGGTGGTTTTGAGTACTGAGCGGAACCTACTGTGTGTTTCATGCTCTTAGCACAGCACCAGGCCCACAGAAAGTGCTGGGTAAGTTCTCATGAACCAGCTCCTGAGTTCTGAAGACATTAGATGGTCCTTGGAGGCAAGAGTCTTAAAGGCATCTCGAAAGCTGATCTGAAGCTACAGTGGAATTTGATGAGGATAGACACGGAGTTCTGGAAACCTCATTAAGTGGAATAATCTTGTCCTTTCAATAGGAAATTCCTTTTTGCTTTCCTTTAGCTTTTAGTGAAACTCCCATGGAGAAAGTTGGTCTGTCCCAGCTGTGCTAAGGCAAACAAAAGGAGGGGAGCAGGGTGTGTGTCAACGGTTTGTGGCAAGAGTGGGGGTGAAGAGGGGCAGCAGGAATCCAGGTGAGGACACCCGAGGTGAGCTGGGAAGGTGGCTTGGATGTGAAAGGGCAGCAGCTCTCCTCAGCAAGCCCCCCAGGAGTCTCCTTCTAGAGTCCTATTGTGCACAACCCGGAGAGCGTGGTGTTTTGTGATCCCACACACTCCACCCTTCACATTTCCCACAAAGCTCAAGAGGGAGCCAATGATAAAAAAAAAAACAGCCTGTGGATTACTTAGTGTTGGGATTTGCGGTGGGGTTGCTGACACCCTGACCACCCTTCACTGGCTGGAAAGGAAAGGAACTCCCCACTGGCTTGTGGCTCCCTGTGGTAATTCTATGCTCTCTGGGGCCCTTGCTTCCTCCACAAACTCTCTCACACTCGAGCTTCTGAGAAAGATAGTGAACTTTTGCCACCAAGAAGTAGAGTGGAGATGGATTGTGGGAGTCCAGGGTCTCTGAGCTGAAAGAGGGAATAGCCAGGTGTTCCACCTGAGGTTAACTCCTTCTCTTCCCTTTTTTTTTTTTTAAGAGAGGGAGGGGGGAGGAGCAGCAGGAGGAGAGAGGAGAGAATCTCAAGCAGGCTCCATGCCCATCAAGGAGCCCGACACAGGCCTTAATCCCACCACCCTGAGATCCTGACTTGAGCTGAAATCAAGAGTTGGACACTCAATCGACTGAGCCACCCAGTCGTGTCACCCCCCCATCCCCCTTCCCCTTTCTTTTGATTTGCCCTCCCAGAATACACACCTGCCTCTGTACATGTCACTGCACCTGCATCCCTGAGCTCACCTTTCCCTATGTCGGACTGCTGTGCTGGGTGGTCCCCATCCTAGAATCCTGGGTAATAAGGGCCTCCACGTGATTGGGACCTGGGCCCACTGCTGCCACCACGCCTTGTTAGCTTGATGGCACACCAGCAGTTGTCTGTCGTTGTGGGGTGGGAGGTTCTGAGCCTCTACTGGAAGTTCTACCAGAAGACTCAGGGCCATTGATTGAATGACATGTGGTGGCTGTGCCCAGCCTGCTTTGGCTGCTGGCCAGTGCCACTACAGCCAGCCCCTCTATTGGAGCAAACACTTTCTGCTGCCCACGAGAGACAGCAGGATGGGCTTCATGCTGAACCAGGAAGCACTGCAGCTGTTGGGGGCAGCACTGGCCTCAGTGGCCTAGAGGACATGGAGGGAGGCAGATGTCTACTCCATCAGCTGGGCATGAAGTGTGTGAACACCAGGGACCTGTGCGGTTGTGAGATTTCCCAGCTCCTACCATAATGAGCTCTACTTCTGGTACCAGGTCCCTAGGGCAGTCCTCCATGGCCAGTGCTGGAGTCCTCACCAGGTCCCTCTGAACAGATGGTTCAGATTACCAATAAACAGGTGCCACCAAGGTAACCTGCCCAAGGCCACCTAGCCATGAAGTGGAAGGCCTGGCTTTAAAATCAGATCTGATTCCAAAGATCCTCCTCTCAACCAAAGCTAGCCCAGCTTCTCCCCCTCTCTAAGCAGCCCCCTCCCCTGTCATCTCCTCTAAGTTCCACACCCCAGCTCCTTCCCAGAAAGGGGTTCATGTTGGGAGTCATGGACTTTTCAGCTCCCTGGATCCCTACTTTTGCTCTGACCTTTCACTACAGGGGGAAGTATCTGACCTACCAGCTGATGTCCTGCCACCAGCCCCAGCAGGGGCACCCTCTGCGAGCCCTCTCCCACCTCCAGTTTCCCACTTTGACCAAGTCCATTCCCTGGCCCGCCTCTTCAAGAAAAAGCCAGCAGCTCCCCCCTAGACAAAAATCACTTCCTCTTTAATTGCTGTTGAAGAAGATTCACACCATCTGCCTCAGAGGAGATGAGGGCATTTCCCTCTGCCCCCGTCCCTCTCCCCTCCCCAATTACCTGGTCCTTTGCAAAATATTTTAGCTGAAAAAAAAAAAAAAAAAAAAAAAAAAAAAAAGACCGGAAACCACTGACACAGACGGTCCAAGGGCTGGATTGATTAAAGGAGGCAGGGCTGGGCCAGGTAAATCCACCCCACCACCCCCTTCCTGGGGATGGGGAAGGAGGCCTGGAAACCCTCCCAGCCACCTCACATCCTCTTAGCCCTGGCTGGGAGGGATCATGGGGTTGAGGGACGGGTCTGGAGCTGCTCCAGTGGGAGGGAGGGGCTGGACAGGAAGAATAGTGGGGGAGGGGTCCCATTGCAGGGGTGCCCCCTACCCCAGATCACCATGGGCGCTGCACAGTCACAGGTACGCAGTCACGGTCACAGACACTCACAACCCGAGAGCACCCCACCCCACCCCACCCTCTGCCCACCCCTGGCTTCCCCTACCCTGAAACGCCCTCCCCGAGTCCCTGCCCGCCCCCGCCCCCTTGTTGGGGAGAAAAGCAATAAATTACAAGGTCCCTCCCCTGTCCCCTTAGCCCGCTCTGCTCCATCTCTTCTCCTTCCCGAGATAATAGTGAGGAGGGACCCAGGCTCTTGGCTCCCCCCGCCCTTTAGCTTCCATCCATGGGTGGGTGTGGGGGGACGTCCTGATTTCCACTCCTCATGGTCCCTTTCACGGAAAGGGTTGGGGACCCCCCTACCCCCTTGGGCAGCAGGGGTCCTGCCCCTCGCTGCCCTTCCCCCTTCACTGGGCAGTGAGATTAGCATGGAAGGGGTGGGGTCCCCGGTATTGGCCCCAAGTCCCAGGGCTAGCTCTCCCACGTACTAACCCCTCCCTCTGGCGTGGCGTCGCCCCAGGAGCCAGCCTGGGTATGTGCTCCCGCCTTGGGATTGTCGAGCACAAACAGGACTGGGTCTTCCCCCCTCCACCCCTAGGGGGCGCAAGCGGGTAAATCCAAGCTCCCAGGAGCCGGTACCGCGACTGGGGGTCTGCTTCCGCAGACACCCAGCGGGTAGACACAGAGCAATCCGAGTGTGGAAACGGTGGAGAGGGGCGTGTTGAGCTGGGGTCTCCATGCCTCGTTGGGGAGAGGGAGGTGAGTTTGTGTCTTCTGGGAGACGTGGGGGCTGTGCCCTCGTGGGGGAAAGAAGTGCTCCCGTGGGGCGGGGTGCGGATTGGAGAGGTGAGTGGGTGCATCTGTCCAGCGGTCCGCCCGATGTGGTCGTGCCCGGCCCGTGTGGGAGTGGGGGTGTCTCTCCCGCTGGGCAACTATACCAGCGCGACGGGGGCGTCAGCGCGACCCATGCTGGCGGCGCTGCTCCGGCGGCGGGGGCTGGGCGTGGCGGTGATGCTGGGGGTGGTGGCTGCGCTGGGGGTGGTGGCGGTGCTGCCGCCCTCACCCGGGCAGCCGTGCTGGAGAAGGATGTCGGCGCATAGCTGGCTCCCAGCCTGGCGGGCGTAGAACAGCGCCGTGTGGCCCTGTGCGTCACGGGCGGCCACGTCGGCGCCGTACTAGAAGGACAGAGACGGCCGCGTCACCAAGACTCCCCGTAGGGCCGACACCCGCACGCCGTCTCCCCAGAATTTCCAGGCCCGCTTCCAGGGTCCTTTTAGGGACATCAGGCTCCCCTGCGCCTGGCTGTTTCCCAGCGGGAGCCCTCCAGAAGCCCTTTCCCCAGTCCTCACTCACGCACCCACAGCAGCAGCTGCGTGATGACAACGTGGGCGAGCTCGGCTGCCAGGTGAAGGGGGGAGCGAAGCTGA